GGCAGCAAGGTAAGCAGAAAGCAGCTGGAGGCCACAAGGGCCCCAGCCCTCTCCCTCTGCTGTGGCTGACAGGAGCAGGAGGAGACCACCATGGTGAGGCAGGGAGACAGTTGAAGTTGTGGCCACTCCCTTTTGTAGTGCTTTGACATAGCCACCAGGATGACTCCCTCTACCTGAGGCTGCCCAGCACTCAGCCTGACCAGGCTCCCTTTCTGGCCTGTGACCACCAGGAACCTGGATAGGAGCCTGTGGCAGGTCCACATAGGGTAGATCACTACTCTCTGCACCACTCTGTCTTCAGTCCCCACAAAGCCACTGAGCACAGATTCTGCATGGAGCAGATCTACTGGGCGAAAGAGCAGAAACAAGCACAGTGCAGGCAAGAACAGACAAAGCTTAACTGTGAAGACTCTGCAAGACAAATCTTCAAATAAAAACAGCTCTTCCCTCAGCACTGTTGTCTGTATTTGTCACTGGAGGGTGGCCTCTCTTGTAATTCAGTCTTTCTTTAAATAATGATAAGATGTACACATCGTAAAACATACCACCTAACTGTACTCCCCTAAGTGCAATCTTCCAGAAATCTCCCTCACAGACCTATGGAACAATTTTTAGAAATTGTTCCATATTTAGAAATTCCAAATTTAGAAATTGAAATACAATTCCTACTAAACAATTCAACATTTGAAGTTTACTATTCAGTGGTGTTAAACGTATACAGAGTGGTGCAGCCATCACCACAGTCACCTGCAGGATAATTTTCATCATCTTCCAAAGAAACCAATCACCCCCTGGCACACACTCCCCATCCCCTCTTAACTCAGTCACCTCCCAGCCTTCAGCAGCACGAAGCAACCTCGTATGTATTGGCTTATTTTGAAAAATTGAAAGTACAGTTGGCCCTCCATATTCAAGGGCTTCATAGCCACAGACTTAAATGACTTCAGACCAAATATATTAGAAAAGTAATAGAATATGCACCCACTGTGTGCAGCCATTTTCTTATCACTTTTCCCTAAAACACAGCAGAACACCTATTTATGTAGCATTCATATTGTCTTAGATATTATAAGTATTCTAGAGATGATATCAAAATACACATGAGGGTGTTGCAAGGCTATATACAAATTCTGAACCATTTTATATAATTTCATATGAGGAATTTGATCATTTGCAGATTTGAGGATCGAAAGGAGGCCCTGGAACAGCTCTGCTGTTGGTACCAAGGGACAGCTATAAATGGAATCATCCTCTGTGATAGTTTTACACACATGTGAACCCCAATAGCTATTATACTGTACTTGTGTATATCATTCGATAAACTGTCATAGTAATCTTACCATGACTGTCTCATGGCTTTTAATTCCTACTGAAAAACTCAGCTTCTGCTTGACACATGATCAGATTATTCCCTTTCCTGGCCTCATGGGCAATGTTGTAATTAAATGTGTTTTACTGAACCTTTTGAAATATAAACATGGTAGATTCCCACAGTGAAACAGCCTGTGGAAGGGCATGTGCAGTTATAGCTACGATACCCCAGAACCACCACATAGAAAATCAACATATATTGAAGTCTCCTTAGGAACCAGAGACACAAAGGCAGAGACCAAGAGCCTAGGAGGAAATGCAAAGCCACCAAAGCACAGAAAAATTAATGTAGGGAAGGATTTCGGGTGCCATGCCCTGCCAATCCCTACTAGGGTTTGGGGTGACTAACACAACAGAGTTGCTGCAGAAGGGTAGGGAGCAAGATAAGGTAAGTGAGTGGTGGGGTGGGGAGCAAACAACCAGAAGAGGGACAGCATGCTGCTCACTGCCTCCCTGGGTCATGGCCTCCTCCTTTAGCTGAACTCCTCACCTTTGGCAGCAAACCCTGGGACCTGGCGCACCCTCTGGGTCTTCCTGGGCAGGGTCTTGTCCTTGTTCCCAACAGCAAATGTGTCATTCTAACACCAACCAATTCTTCAGTTCTTCAACACCAGCTGGATGTCCTGTCATTCAATCTTACTTGACACTAACTGCCCAGAGTTAGCAAGGATCCCACAGATCAATGGTCAGCCCCATGAAACTGCCCCCTCTGCAGGCAATGGTTCACACTTGTGGGCAGGCAGCCACTGATGCACAGCCATGAATCCACGGCATCCCCCACCCAATCAATAATTTTCCTGAACAATCACAGAACTCAAAAGGACTTTTACTTATTAGAATAATGCTATATGACGAAGGACGCAACTCTGGACCAGCCCAGTGAAGAGAAGCACATGACAACGTGTAGGAGAGGAGCTCCCACGGTGCCCCAGGCACCTCTGTGCTCTCACCCACCCACGGCTCTCCAAACCCGGAAGCAGGGGGCTTTCCCGGGGTGTCATAACACAGGCCTGAGTGATGACATCACTGGAGATTGATTGGTCTCTTCCCTTTCCAAGAGGTGAGGTGAGGCTGAAAGTTCCAAATCTCTAGTCCCATAGTTTGTTTCTCTGGCCACCAGCTTCTATTCTAAAGCTACCAGGGCCCCAGCCACCTGTCATCTCACCAGGACACAGGAGAGCAAATCCCAAGACTCAGGAGCCCCAGCCCAGGAACCCAAAGGCCAATTATTCATTTCTTAGGAGACACCAGGGTCCTAGTGTACATCTTCCTGAAAGAATCAGACACATTCCCACCTTCTCCAGCACATACACCACGCACACACATACACCTACAATACACTCCAGACACATCACACATCACACAATATCACAAATGCAAAATACACATGTGTCACAAGCCATATATGCCACACCTACTCAAACACCACAATCTAAAATCACACACACCACATCATGCACATATTACACATACACATAAGACACAATCCCACACAAGTACACACTACGTATATCATACATACACACATATACTACATACACATAAACGTATCCCATTCACTAGTTATGTTTCTGAATAGTGGAACCATCCTTCCAATATATAAAATGTGAGAAGAACAATTCCTAGAATTTCCAGTGGTCCCTGGCCGACTTTGAGCACAAAGACAGGACAGAGCAGCCGCGTGACATTGGGACAAAGTGATGTGGTCTCTCAGCCCTGGTACCCACCTCTGTCACAGTGATACTCTTCCTTAAAGGATTATAGCGATAACTCAAAGGCTTCCTTTGGGTCTAGACAAAGTTATCACACAAAAGGCCAAGTTTCACTCTGCATATCTACACATAGATCGATATTTTAATGCTATGTCTCCCAAGTCCACACAGAGGAAGTGGCTTGTGGTTGTCTGTCAAGTTGCAGACAGAAGGACCACAAGACCCAAGTCCTCAACACTGCCCAGGGCTCATTTCTATCGCACCCAACCTTTGAAAAGTTCTGCTTTTTCCTGGGGTTACTATGTCATCTGTCAGGGTTCCCCAGAGAAACAGAACCAAGGAGATACATACATATTCATGAACACACACAGGCAATACACAATTATGGAAACAGACACACAAAATCTGTAGGGCAGGTGCCTCAGCTTGAGTCCGAAGCCATCTGTGCTGCTGTACCAGCAGGGTGAACAGTTAATAGGAGAGTCTACCTGACTGGCAGGGAGACAAATTTGGCCTGTTGCCTTCCAGAAAGGCCTGTCCTGGCCTTCAACTGGTCGAGTGAGGTCCATACACACTGGGAAGAAGCACGAGCTTCACCCAGGCCATGGATGCAAATATTTGTCTCATCTAAAAGCAGCCTCACAGACACGCTGAGTAGAATGCTTGACAAACGTCTGGGCAGCTGTGACGCAGGCCAGCTCACAAAACTGGCCATCATACCCACCAGATCTCCATGGAGAAGGGAAGGCCTTTTTCCCTTCCCCTTTGGCACTGGGTGATTAATGGCGCATCTTCACCTTCACCTGCTGATGCGCCTTTCCTCAGTTATGTCATCGAGGGCTGCAGAAGGGGCACTTCCCAATTCCTGTTCCTCCTCTTCCCCTGAGCTGGCACTGCTGTGCTAAGTTGCTTTTCCTCATGAAACAGGGACCGGAAAGGGGAAATTTTATTCAACAGAATAGTAGGAAGGGCCAATTCTCCCTAGAGAAGCCTCCAGGGAAGTCTGTCTTTCCAGGCTTAGGGAGGAACCCAGCTGCCTCAGACACAGGGACATCAGGCAGACAGGGCTGGGACATCAGTGGGAGGCCTGTGTGCCGGGAGAGCTGTGGTGTGGCCGGAATCTTTGCGGGAAAGAAGCCTCATCAAAAGAGGGGTCACCCTCCGGGACACCTCTGTGATGCTGTAGGTCAGATCCCTGTGTCTCTCAGGGAAACCTTCAGGAAAGACGAAGAGCCCCAGTAGTCCTCAGTATTTCCCAAGTCAGTTTGCGGGCTTCACCAGGAGCCGTGATCCCCATGCTGCATCAGGACACAGGCTTTCTCTGGAAAGGAACCGAGGGTGCCGGCCAAACTTCAGCCCCAACCCCAGCAGAGCATGTGCGGAGTGGACAGCGGCTAACTGGGCGCACTCGATAAAGCACTGGACCATGTTGGGAAGGTGTGGACGCAGCGGCCAGGAGTTGGGCTGTCACCCTGGCCGTGGGAAGCTGGCAAAGCCGCAGGTCCCTGCTGTCCTTTTCTTGACTGGATGCTCTAGGAGGACAGACTCTTCTGCTTCTCTTTTTCTCTCCTCTTTCTTTTTCTTTCTTTTTGTCTGTTCATCCACAAAGCTGCTAGGATTGTCCCTGTGTTCAGGCTGTCAAGGCCTGTGCTTTTCTTTCTGACAGTGTGGCAATTTTCTGTTCCAAGACTTCGCATGGATATGGATTATCCCATTATCCACATAAGGGAGCGAATCCTGCAGAGCGCGGGCTGGACCGGGGCCTGGCTGGGCCGTAGGCGGGGTGGGAGCTGGGGCGG